GAAGTATGTATCGGCTTGCCAAAATAGTAAAGGTCATGTATTTTTCTGACAAGGTTTGAAGGTCGTGATTAAATTGCCAAACGCGTAAAGGTCGTGTTAATTCCCGCCATTTAGCCTAGAAAAAACCCAATTGCAAGAGAGATAGCCAAATATTATCGAGGTATTAACATCGTATATGCACATTCTTTACAAACATTAAACAATATTTCATACACGTTGGACCTCATACATGTCCCACCACATTATTATAGGGCTAGAATTCCAATTACCATTGAGGATGGAATAGGTTCTATTCACGCAGTGGCCTATGGACAAGACGCAGGAAATCTAATTAGCAAAACGAGAATACAACTGCAACGCACAAATGAACATGTAAATTTCATAGGTACAACGGTTATACAAATTATACGAACTGTTTAATGAAGACAAAATAAACTTTTCGCAGGCCGAAAGCTTAGTGGAAAACATAAGAAAAAAAAATCAATGGGACACATGTTGTCTGTTTCGTGCGGTCATTTCAAACAAATGGAATAACGAACTCTGCCATAAAGCTTTATGTGGATGATGATCTGCCTGATTACATAATGCTTGTTCCATATGACTACGTGGGGGAAGAATCACCAAGAAATACCCAGGTGAAGAAAATGACGTAGAACGTGTTAAATAGACAACGAAAATTATCAGTAAAAGAATACTGATTGTTTTAATAATCTTTGTTGTAGCCGGCTGAGGAGAATGAAATAGATAACGGAAATCCAGAAGCATATACTTGTTGCACAGAGTATGTCCAAAGAAGTTGGTCTTACATCAAAGCCACAAACTAGGCGTTCACTAAACTTCAATGCTCATGGCAATGTCATTGGCGATGCGGAGAGTTTCAGTGCAGATGAATGTAATAGAAAATATCAGCCCCCAAAAAATTACCCAACAACCTATTATCAACAATGCAGTAAAGAAGGCACGCACTGACAAATGATCACATGCCCATTGGACAATCAACTTTACTAATATCTTTTGTCTCATGCTATGGTAGATTGTCGACTTAGCGGTGAACTTTAAGTCTAAGGATCAATCATGTACTATTGTAACATGAAAATTCTTATTTGACAAGAAACACTTCCATTTAAGAATTTTCATACGGTCATGTTCAATGAACTTGTTCCCTAACAAGCATCCACATATATATACTTGCATCACATGCTAATGTTGATGGAATACAACATTCTTACCCGATAAGCATATCTATTTTGTGCCACATGTTCTAATTAGTTCCCCAACAACATAGTACGCCTTTTGTCTTCACTTGTATGCGTGCGTGTTATTGCTGTTAAATCAATTAAGCGCGTTTATGTTGTAGTGCTTCAAATATTATGAATCCACCAAACTTTCTTACCCAAGTAGTGAAGGGGTGTTTTGATTTGTAGTAGGTGCATGTTGTTTAGACTATGTAGCCGTTTATGGCCTCTTTTGTAGAAATGATAAGTAAGGTTTGGGACATTGGTTTATTAGTTAATGTGTATTGTTAGACGCAAATAAATATTTTACCAAAGCAAATTGTACATTTTCAAGAGTCATAAATCCGCGAAGTGTTGCACACAGTTATAATTAACAGGCTTTTGCTGTCAAGATCCACACAATTATAAACAAAAGACTTATGCTGTCAAGATCCAGTTAGCTAAACACGTGCTCGCAAAATAAATAAATTAGTCGTCGATGAACATATAACTGCAATATGGTATTTTCATTAATCTTTTGATCGCCTCACTAGCCATCAAAATGTGCAGATCATATCCCAACTATAAATAGTGGGTAAAGTACCAGTCGCACCCAAACGAAAGGCACTCATAGCCCAATAATGCCTCCCAACACACACACAAACACCGGCTCAATTCAATGTCTCATCAAAATATTAAAAAAATATAAATAAATAAACTCTTTTCTGTCTGAATTCTTTGTCATGTGGCTCTCTTTGGTTGGCATTATTCTTTCTGTATATGTCTCCCTCTCTCTATTATATAATTACACTTATCTCTCTGCAAAAGAAAAGCACAGAGACAACACAGACCCACACCCTCTTATATATATATGTACAATATGAATAGTTGGACACAAAAGAGTGTCAGAGATTAACAACTGCCACATTTAAAAGAAACATAAAACAAATGATTTGTCCACCAAGAATAAAAAACAACTGCCACATTTAAAATTACTTTAATGGCCAGAGAAAGCACAACACAATTTGGGCAATGTAGTCACATTACACTCAATAATAATGCCCTGCACCAAGTAAATTTGCAAAAACTGTGCTTAAGTGGTGCGTCTACGTCTATTCAGAATCTTATATGCTCACTCATTTGATCACGTATATTTCGTTAAGAAATTTTAACCGATTCGAATTTGTTAAAATATTCAAGGATTTTAATCCGTATTCAATTCATAAACGAACTTATTTTCTAGTTCATATTCGAATTGTTTAGAATATTCTAACATATTCGATTTTGTCTGAAGTTCATTTTTTGAAAAAAATTATAATTCAAACAATTTGAACTAAAAAAAAAATATTGTTATGTTTGTCCTATCAAATTTGAGATGTTTTAAGGGCAAATTATTGATTTGGGATGTTTTTATTTTTTATGTCATCAAACTATTAGGAATATAACAACACACACATACACACACACACACACACACACATATATATATATATATATTGTAAACAAAATTTACATCATTATGCTTAACGAATCGAATATCGAATTTTCAATCCAATAACTACAAATTCAAATTTCAATTCGTTTAACTTTCGAATATAAAATATCATTAGTATTTGAATTCCAATATTTCGAGCTCAATTACGAATAACAAATTCAAATATCGAGTTGAATCAAAATAATTCGATTTGTTTGCAAGCCTAGGACTGACCGTCCTTTCCGATTAATTGTTGCCTTTCATTTTCAACATTCTCGATTCTTCAATTTCGTCTGTCAAGATGCACGTTCTTGGGACTGAATCTTATGTTGAATAGTCAAACATTGTGTACATGAAGACAAATTTCGGTTCCAATGCTCATTACAAGTGAAGACAAAATTTCGCTATATATTTAGAATAAATTTATGTCCGCCATGTGTGCACAATATTCATTTCAAACATAAGCATACATGAAGCAAAAGAATATGTAGGCCTGCACATTTTCGTTGTTAATACATGCCACAAAAGTGTCTTAGTTAGCACTACAGAATAATGCGCATACACAACAAAACGATGGTTAACAAATCCTACATATATAGTGTTTCAGGATTTCGCATCACATAGCATAGATTTCTACATTTCCACCTTGAATGTTATTGATTCAGCAGGAACCAAGATAAACTTGCAGGAACAGTTTTCCACGATTCCATTGTCCTCCACGAAGCTACGTGTTGCGCCTCTTTGAAGCAACTTTTTCCCGTGCCCCTCGAAAATCTCCATTTCATACCTACACTGCCCAATCACCAGATAAACCACATTGGTGTTTTCGTAGCATCCTTTAATGTAGACACGCCAAAACTGTATCGAGATAAACTAAAAGAAAGGAAATTTAAGTGATTTTATGTTGTTGGTGTTGCTGAATTGAAAAAAAAAAGGTCAAGTGTAGGATTGTCAATATTGTACCGAGGGCATCTTTAGAGTATACCGAATCAGTATAGATACCCTTCTTCTGACACAGCAACGCAATTGGAATCAATGTCGAAAGGGAGTGAGAAAAACGCTTCAGCTCTATGTGTGCACAGTGACAAGGTTTTACAAAAATATTACCAGCCTTGCACGCTCCACATGAGTTTTCTTAATGTCCAGAGTAAATGTATCTACTGGCTGTCTACCGCATCCATTGGCCTCAATAATCCAAATTTCTAAATCAAAGAGACTATGGCGATAGAACACCAGAAGGTAACCCCACTCAATGGACTCTGAAGTCATAAAGTTTCCCCATCCTTCTGTTATACTTAGTTTCCCATTCTGGATTCTCATGGTTGCTTCATATTCTTCAACTTCAGTTGTGGTCAAACGGCAAGCACGTGGCAGCAGCCCACAGTACTCTTTGTATATTTCAGGGGGCAAGGGCTACAACGACGATTAATAATAATTTTATACTATGCGTGTAACAATTACACATTAAAAGTAACTAATATAGCACAACAAGATGCAAACAAGAACAAATTTTTGGAAAAATAAAAATAAATGAAAAGTACCCGCCAATCAAGCTCGGGGCGGGATATGATCCTAAAAAATGATTGCACGTTTGTATCCATCTAGCCTTAGCTGCAGTGCATAGCCATACGAACAAAATTAATTTAAAGTTGCTATTGTACATTATTCATTTGGAAGCATCAAAAGAAGGTGTGCATATCTTTTAGGTCTTTATGTTCAAACTCATTCCATAATTGTTGTTTGTGGTAAAATAAACTCAGGAACAAAGGATGCGTCCATCAATTATGAGGAGAAAAACGGGTAAAACAATAAAACAACAGCTCATAAGGGACACATGATACTAAGTCTGTCACGGCAAGCAAGATGGTTCTGGAAACTGCCTGGGTAGTCATTTTGAGCACATCAGTCACGGCTTAGCCTTCCTACAAATTTTGGGCTAACATATTGGTTGTTTTTAACTTTAAAATAACATATGTGAAAATAAACTAAAAGTAAACAGATTTTTTACATTGATATGCTTCACCTGCAAATTGTTCACCAATGATATATGCACTCTGAAGAAAGCAAGTGTGTCAACTTTCATCTCCTCCATCAAGGAGCAGAGAATCATAATGAACTTAAACAACAAACAAATATGCACAAACAAACAACAAACTTCTATTAATGATTTACCAAACTATTTAAAAACAAAAAAAAGGTTAGGGCTTCTGTTAGTTCAAGAATTCGGCAAACCAAGCGGGTATTTTGTTTTTCCTTCAAATGAATCCATGTTAAGACGGATCTCAACACTTAATCACCATATGATGAATTATGAACTCGATTTACTGAATAAATCTGACAAAATATATAGAGCTCAAATTGGAATAAAATCAAAAAATAACGGAAGTTCATTCTCGAAGAATAAAAAAAACTATGAGCAGCAATGGGAGCCGTTGTTTTTCAAATCGACGGATCTTTTTCAAAGTAAAAAATTAATAAGAAAAAACTAATCGTCAAATCGGCGCCTGTTTTTCAAAACCGCACCTGATTTTTGGGACAAGTGATGAGCAGCGACAGGAGTCGGAGAATACGAGGAGAACCCCGCACTTTGACAAAGCGGAAGGCATTAAGGCATTTCCTCCTTCTTTCAGACAACTGTGTATAGATATATGTTTACATATTGGGCCAAAAATGAACCATCACAACAAATTGGGCCATTTAATTATGCTTTTATTTTTATGTTGGGGATGGGCTCGCCTATGTTTGTCCCCTTTTATTGATTTAAGTATCTGAGAATGGCTTTTTGGTTTTTGAAATATTTGCTTAGGGCAACACATTAGCATGTTATTTCTAGAGCCAGTGGATTTACCTCGCCCTGCCGTAACTGATCGTAGTCGTGTCCTGACGGCGATCTTCTACTTCTGGCGATGTTGCTACCGTGGGCCACGGACAGTGAGGATCGTGAAGGCCCAGCGAGGAATTCATGCACGCCCATTATAATAGCCATGTGCCGCTGCTCTGTACTTTGATGACCAATGTCGTTGAAAGGCGTCCACGGTATCGGTTCACATTGCACGTCAAGAAAACACATCTTCAACGTATTTAGGTAAAAAAAAATGGGTGCTATTGTAAATATTGTAAATTATTTAATTATCTACAAAATATATCGGTTAATTGTAACACATATTTTGGGATGTGCATGTTTAGTGTTCAATAAATGAATCTCAACACTTGTTAATAAATTAGTGGCAGAGAATAACAATAATATGAGAAAAGATCTTCACACGATGTCAAATAAATAGTGTACCTTATGGCCCAAGTTGGGCTTGTCCAATGTCATCATGCCACGTGTCCTAGCCCATGTGTAGGTTTATTCTCCAACGTATTCCTTTATTCTCCAATATATTTTTTTTATCCATTAAAACCAGTCTAGTATAATATTCTATATCAATTAGTAATTAAAACTTATTTTCTATGTTATTTTAATTTAAATAATAATATTATTTTATATTAAAAATATACTAACAATAGTTATATTTTACATTTCTAGACAATCTTTTGAAAATATTTATAATAATTTACACTTTCGGTCCCTTAATTGTAAATCAATTTATTGATTTACAAAACCGAGTATTTAGTTCAATTGTTGCATTTATGAATGTTGATTTTCACTTTTTTGTGTGTTACATTTTTTTAACTTTATTTTTAATAAAAAAAAAAGTTATAAGCTTTCTCAACAAAAATATTATGCAATGTGCTGCAAAAATAAAATTTAAATTATTTTTTCAACCAGAAAAACTTATTTTTCAAGAAATTATTGATGTTGCATTTAAATTATAAATACATGAATTATAATTTTTTTTTCAAGTTTGAGGGTAATACGAATTCTAAGCATTTAAAAACATAATGGTAAACATATCTATATTTACATTTATAGTAATTACATTTGTATATGAAATGAGCGTTTCGACTTAAACTACATTATTTAACATTTAAAATTGGGCACCACTGAGTGAAATTTCTGGATCCGGGCACAGGGTCTTACTATTTACTAATCTTCCAATTTGATAGATAACAATCTCACTAATAAGGTTCAAAGCAATAATATCAATCACACCAATGATGCCACGCCCACAATCTCCATTGTGTATCATGGTTCCAACTCTCTTATACGCCTACAATATCCCAGTATATAGAGCGATGACACAGACCGACATACAAATTCTTCAATACTTGAAGTTTGCTGATGTTGGTCTCTGTATAGTTTCTCTATATTGCTCTATTGTAGGCGTACGAGAGAATTGGAAACATGATGCACAATGGAGATTGTGGGTCTGACATCATTGGCGTAATTGATGTTATTGCTTTAAAAAACAAAAGACTTCAAAAACAAATTCCTAACATTCGAGATATCATGAATTCGAGACGTTTTGTAAAAGAACTACGTGGACTTTGATTCCCAATATAAGGGATACGTAGGCACCTTAATTGACATATATCCTCAATATTTATTAAATGTCAATTAAGCTCAAGTCCATATTTGACGTGCAATAAAAGTACAATTTTTTTTTCACAAATCACCAGAACTACTGGATAGTGGTATCAAACTAATGTGAAGTGCTGATGACTCGATTGCGAGCTTACCATTGCGTTATTTTGTGATCACTTCGTCGAAATTCAATTAGAATTCAGATGATAAGTAAGTATCTATAAGCGTTCTGTTGTTTGTGGTATTGCAGATGAAATTTAAGGTTCAAATCATTATACATAATGAAGAATATTGACATGGTATCATTCTCTGAAATGAAGTTGATGTTCAAACATTAACGACATGTACGACTGTGATGTCACGTGAATAGTCTCTATTATATAGTATGATTTGTAATCTTAATTATGGTTGCGATACCAAAAACAATAGAACACGTTCTTTAGGAATACTTACTTATCATCTGAATCCTAACTCAATTCCGACGAAATGATTGCAAAATAACGTAATTTTAAGCTCGCGTTCGAGTCGTCAGCACTTCACATTAATTTGATACCACTATCCAGTAGTTCCAGTGATTTGTGAAAAAAGTTTGTACACCCAAGATGATAACGTGAACAACTTGCTTGCAGTGTTGCATGATAGATGAACAGTTAAGGATGTCGTTAACGATGTTAATTTTGACTGACTATGTTATAGAATATCCTTCAAAAATTTAATCAAAAATGTCACTCACACCAATAATGCTACGTCCACAAACTTTCATTGTGGATCCGTTACCCACTCTCTTATCTGCCTACAATAGAGTATTTAGAGAGTCATGACATAGACCATCGAAGTTTGTTGATGGTAGTCTATATCTACTTTTTCTACATTGCTATATTGTAGGCATATGAGAGAGTGACAAGCAGATTCACAGTGGGATTTTGTGGGCGTGGCATCATTGGCGTGATTGACATTATTGCTTAAATTTCTGAAGGATATTCTATAATAGAGACAGTCAAAATTAGCATCGGTAACGACGTCCTTAACTGTTCATCTATCATGCATAATTGATGTTATTGCTTTAACAAACAAATGCCTTAAAAAAAACAAATGTCTAGTTTTTGAGATATCATGACCTTCAAGTTCAAAATACAAATGCCTAATATTCGAGACGTTTTGTAAAAGAACTACTTGGACTTTGATTCCCCATATAAGGGATACGTAGGCACCTTAATTGACTATATCCTTGGATATTTATTAAATGTCAATTCAGCTAAAGTCTATATTTTTCTTCTTCGAAAACCTTTCATCCATCTTCGAAAACCTTACATAAGTTGATTTATCAGTATGTTGGGTTTCATCAGCGTCATCATGTAATCCGACTCCAATACATAGTCTCGAGTAATATCGTGGTTTTATTTTTTAGTGGCCTAAAACACTTTACTTAATGGAAGTTGTCCATGTTATCATCCTTGGTGTACAAGATGTTTATACCATCATCACACAATTCCATATGGGTACAAATTTTTTCACATATCACTGGAACTATTAGATAGTAGTATAAAACTAATGTCAAGTGTTGATGACTTAACTGAAAGTTTAACATTACATTATTTTGCTTTCCTTTCATCGAAATTGAGAAAGTATTCAAAAGATAAGTACATATGAATAAGTGTTCTCTTATTTGTGCTATTGCAGACGAAATTTAAAGTTCAAATCATAATATATAGTGAAGATTATTGACATGGTATCATTGTCCGAAATGAAGTTGATGTTGAAACATTAACGACATGTACGATTGTGATGTCACGTAAATATTCTTTATTATATATTATGATTTGAAATCTAAATTACGACAACAATAGCCCAAACAAGAGAATATTTATACATACTTACTTATCATCTGAATTCTAATTCAATTTCGACGAAAGGAATGCTAAATAATGTAATGATGAACTTGCAGTTGAGCCGTCAATACTTCACATTAGTTTCATATCACTATCTAAGAGTTCCAATGATCTATGAAAGAATTTGTGCCTTTATGGAACTGTGTGATGATGGTATAAACCTATTGTACGCCAAAGATGATAAGATAGACAACTTCCATTAAGTAACGTGCTTTAGGCCACTAGCAAAAAGAACGACGATATTACTCGAGACTGTGTATTGGAGTCGGATTGCATGATGGCGTTGATGAAACTCAAGATACTGATAAATTAACTTATTCGGACTAAGTCTTCGCAAAAACGATCAAGTATTAATACAAACCTGTTTGTATCCGTTTCCAGCATTCTAGAATATCACCAAGACTGTTGTTTTGAGAAAGCCATAGAAGAGTAGGTGAGTGATAAGGTGTCATGTTCGAACTAGACGGTGCCGAATTATATTGATTTGGTGGAAAGGTATCTCCGGTTTCAGTAACCTTGGTCGGTCGAAGGCATCATCTTGAGAACCCGTACACCGACACAGGCTGCGGAAAGCAGAGATACCGCTTCGCCAAATCGATGTAATCCGACACCGTTTGGTCCCAAGATATCACCCTATCATTCACCTCCTCTTTTATGGCTTTAACAAACAAACAGTGTTGATGGAGTTTTATAATGCAGGAAACTGATACAAACGGGTTTGTGTTAATACTTCGAGTTCTTGCTCGAATTACAAATACTTATTTTTATTTTTTTTAATGTCAAGTAAAAATAAATATATGTATATATGTATATGTATATATTAAAAAAAAGCATGCGAACCGCAGGACCGGCCTGGAACCGGCCGAGAACCGGCGATCCTGTGACCCGCCGGTACAGGGCCGGTTCATCTAACACGCCCTTAGTTCTTATTGGGCAAGTCGTGGTTCAAAGAAACTAGGACCGGAGACCCGGCGGGCAGGGCCGGGGCCCGGCACCTGGCCACGTTTAGCCGCCGCACCTCTTCCATGACTACAAGAACTTGGTACATTCGTAACTTAATTTATGAAAATGAACTCAAAATGTGATTAATATTTGATATTAAGACTAATAATTGGTTAAAGATTGCTATAAGAAATCGAACACTAATAAATTACTCGAACTTTTAGAATAGTGAGGAAGCCGAAAGAGGGAGGGAGATGAGAACATGCGAAATTGATGGGAAAAATGTGGGGATGTTTACTGGTTTTTTTGGAAAAAAAAAGACCCGAGCCAATGAGTTGGCCTGGACGACCCGTCAGTTCGAATTGATCGATCGAATTTGTTGCAGCCTGCCAGTTTTGGGCCCGATCTGTTCCGGCTATGAATTTTAAAATTCAAATTTAAATTTTCAATGATAGTTAATAGACAGATTGACGAATTCTTTAATTGTGCACGAAACCATCTGCCTAAGAAGGGACCCGATTCTGAGCCTAAAACCTATGGTCAACAGGCTCTCTGGTCCGACCCTAGCCGTTGGTCATGTCTAGAGACAAAAGAATTTCACATGGAAAGAAAAAGTATAACAACCGCATAGGGGACCAAATTGATTCTCAATTTATACGTGTCATCCTCGCGTTTCAATTCGATAGATAAGTTTGACAAACAGTGAAAACTCAACAGAAATTGTAGCGGCAAAACATGTAAATCATACTTAGGGGAATAGTAACAGCACCGCTATGCATAATTCAAACTTTATAAGCATAATCCCCGCATAATTCAAACTTTATAAGCATAATCCTGAACTATCTGCAATCTCACACATCTGGTCCGACTTCGTGACCTCA